CCAGGACTAACATCTCGTTCCAACATTTCTGCAATGGCTTCCCAGAGGAAAAGCGTGATTGCAATTCCCACTGAAGCGTCAGCAACTGCAAGATTAATTAGCAGGTAGCTGGTGCGCTTCAGTCGTTTTCGAATGTTCCAGAAGATGTCAACGGTGATAGAGTTTCCAGTGAGTATCAAGACTGCTTCACAGATGTATACAACCAACCATGGAACTCCTTCAGACAAGGTATATTTAGAGATTTCGTGGCTTGTGTTGGCCATTCTCTACACATAGTTTAACATAAACAACAGTCCATGAATAAGGTTTTGACAACCCGTTTCTGACATCTCCATGTATATCACATGTAAAACATAATTGACGATTGAGTTATTACGACCTTTTTTTTTTTGGAAAAGTCTGCTTTGCCTTCAGGTTCACCACTTGCTATACAGTTGTGATATGCATGTCGTAAAACCAAACTAATCACTCTAGCCAATCATAGAGGACACACGCAATCCAGCGAACCAATCAAAACTCGAAATAGTATGCATGTAGGTAATTCGAAACGCGCGAAAAAGTGTGCGAATGAGTCAAGGTTTATATTTTGGCTTTGCTTGCAATTGGGTGACAAAAGTCACGCGGGGTTTTTTGTCCAGTCGTGAAGCGAATAATGCGAAACCGGAACAAGTGCGAATTCCTTTCAACACTCGAGTAGCTCGAGTGAAAACCGTTGTATTGTGGCTTTAATTGCAGCATTTCATTATTTTGTTTACAAGAATTGTTAGATATGCCATCACACGTGATTCTACCAAGTTATTAACTCAGTGTTTCGTAAAACGAAAAAAGCAATTACCTAAATTTTCAAATGGTTACAAATTAGAATCTGAAACTCTGCGTGAGTTTCTTGTTAAAATTAATTCTGTTTGCCCTTCAAGCTGAACAGTTGATGAAGATATATATCTGTATCAAGTGAGCAAGATAACGTCAAGAAGTTCGTATATTTTACCAGACACATAACCCGAGATGTCGTTACATTGAGCTCGTGCAAAAACAATTCTGTCCTATCCCCAGCGTGGTTTTAAACAGCTGGCTGTTTCTTTACTGCTTGCAGTAAAAAAAAAAAATTGATTACCATGAAAATGGCTGATTGATATTCCCACTACGGAGCTTCCCACCCCAGGCGCAGCCGTGGTTGCTTTTGTCAGTAACATCAATAATTACCCGTATAAAACTGGAGATTTCTGGTTCTAGCGTTAAATCCTTATTCGGTTTCTATCACACAGATATCGTCAAAACTTCTCGTGTGTCGGTAAAGACGTTTTGTATATTTTGGCAGAAAAGAGCGCCGATTTGTCTTTCTTGTCTTTGTTTGCTTTTTGACTGATTTTTTTTCGAGCGGCCTTCTCTCTTTTAACAAGGATGCCTGCGATCCTCTTCTTCATATTTGGGCAAAAGCAATTTCTGTCACATCTCCAGCGTGGTTCTAAACAGCTGGCTCTTAAAACAATCAGAACCCCATGAAAAAGTCTCATTGATATTCCCACTATGAGCTTCCCACCACAAGCGCAGCCACTTACTTAGTCATTCGCGCTTTTGTCCTCACCATCTTAAACTAGCTGTGCTTCCCGTTTCAACCGAAAAATCCTGGCATTATATGTTCATTCAGTTTCTATTTCACGTGTATCGTGAAGGAAACGTTTCGATATTACCCCTTTCCCCTCCCCCTCTCACCTTGTTTTTTTCGGGTCAGTAGTAAAGAAACTTGTTTCGCTACATAAGAATTTTGATAAATAGAAATAAGATAATTATTGGCGCCACTGCCACCACCGTAAATCAGGACAGTTTCTTTTAAATAACGTTTTAAATTTTTGTTATAATAAAGTTTCAATATTTAAATCAGTAAAACTGATTTGAATATATACCATACTTGTTTTCTGCTTTATTTTAGGGATGGGCGCACTTATAAATCTACATACATTACTAAATATATGTTCCACACCACAGACAATTTCGGCTGTTGGATTTCTCTTGTATAATAGGTGAATTATATTATGTTTCCCCAGTGCCGATGTACTGATTTTCACCAATTTGACAAGAAACAAAAAAAATCTTTGCGTGAGAAGTTACCAGTATTTTGCTCTGAACAAAAATCCAAAATAAAAACACGGTCTACATCATTGTATCCAAGGACAAAATGTTCTTTTAATATTCACTGCATGTCTACTCAATGTCAGTGTACATCAACCTCTATTAACGTTCGACAACCCGTTTTCTCTTTCTTATTTACAGCAACTTGCTCCTCGTTCACTTCATTAGCAAAATTGTTTTCAGTTCGTTTCAAGGTTGGTGCTCTAAGTTCTTGCATTTCATTCTGTTCTACACATGGGGCTTTGCCTCGGTCAGTTTCGTTCCTTAACTGTTTATCTTCAACTTCCTCAATGTTGCTGTTATTTACTAGGTTTGCATTCCTTTCCTCGATATTTTTATGTGGAATAATATCCTCCTCTGCTTTAGATTCGACTTTTTCCGCCGAAGACAACTTGCACAAGAACAATTTACGAACCATTCTCTTTAACCTAGCGCGGAACTGTGACAATTGTAACGTATAAATTAAAACGTTGACAGCGGTGTTAGCTGTTACGAGTATTCCACCTGAATTGCGAATGATATAATCCGTTTGATAACTAATGGTTGGTTTTGCAATTGAATTAAACATAATATAGGTAAAACTTAGAAAATATGGAATTATAAAAGCGAACGTTATGGCAACAAGCATAAAAATCCCCTTACTCATTAAAATGCTTTCACGTTTATGGCGGCTATTGCTAAGCGACCGCCTGACAAACTGCAACTTTTGCCAGGCTTGTTTCATCACACAGATATTACAAAATATCAACACGACACTTGGCAAAATGAACTCCAGTATAGTGAAGCTAAGCATGGCCACTCTTGAAGTGAACACGGAGTTGTCAAATCTACACGTCGTTGTGAAATGAGTAGCGTTCAGGTCATATTGCACAATTTTGAAGTTAGCTACTGGAAGCAAAGTTATAAGAAAAGCTGAAAGCCAGGCAAAGGCTATCAATCTTTTCACTGTGGAAAAGGAGAATCGTCGACTAATCTCCCACGAGGCGAAAAGCCTTTCGACAGCTATAACGAGCAAGTTGTTTATAGTTACACAGGGAAACACAAAATATAAAACTCTTTCTATTTTACAATGCCAGTCCTTTTGAAATACATTAGTGAACAATTGCAGGTAACACAAGGGAAGTGTTACAAGGGGACATGAAATATCAGAGATGACCAAACTACTGAGGTAGTAGTTGAGACGTGTTGAGAATAAAGTAAAATTTACGTTACGACGAAATCGCCATTTGTTGTCCGTCTCTTTCAAATGAAAGGCGACAAGAACATTTCCAAAAAACCCAAGAACACACACAACTGCCATTGAAATGAAAATGCAATGTTTGGCAACTGGATCTATTGGTGTGAGGAGGTGGATTCTTCCATTCCGCTCAGTGGCGTTCACAGTTTGTAATGAGCTTTGATTGTATCTGATGCTGGCTTCAGTATGAGCTGGCTCTGTAGTTGTGTTAGGAAACATCATTTACCTGCAACTGAAATAATCAGGAGGTACATGTACTGTAATATCAAATCTTACATTAAAGCATTGTTCCAATGATATAGCCGCCCTGGCGCATTTAGTGGAAACAATTAACCTACCCTGTCTGAAAGGGTCAATGCATACTACATCAAACCGAAATTTTCTTACTCCGTATGTATTTTTCAATTAGTATATCTCCACTGCCAGAAATCAATGCAGTGAAATTTAATTTCAAACACACTCACTTTAAATTAAGTTAAAATATAAAAACAATTGTTAAATGTACATATAGATATATTTAATTTTTCTTCATGTAAATCTAGAACGAGCGCACTTTTGAGTCTACAAAATTTCTACACTTATTGACAGATAATTTTGGCTGCTAAATTTTACTGCATATACTTTACTATATTACGTCGTTCGCGTTGAGCCGTAATTTTCACTCAGGAACTTAACTTAAAAGGGAAAAAAGATTAACCAGCAAATATTATTATAGTTTTCAATCCATAAAGACAAAACAGGACTCCAACGGCACAGTCATAAGCAAACGCCCGTTGATGATTTATAAAATATATAATATATAATATATAATATATAATATATAATATATAATATGTGATATTTAATGTATAATGTATAATATAAAGTATAAAGTATATAATATTTAATATATAATATAAAACGTATTTTAGCTCAATATTGTTATTTACTTCGTTAGATTCAGAGTGAAACGTTATCATGGGAAACAAGCAATCACTTGGAACGCATGCAGTAAGTAAACGTTTTAACAAACAGAACACCAGATTTAAGCCAAAACTCAGCGTGTGAAACGGACATTTTATAAGCAAATTTGCGCAAAACAGGGAATTTTCCTTTTTTCTTTGAAGTATAAGTTTCTTAAGATCCATTTTGGTAAAAACTAACACAGTTTTATCTCTTGAAATTTTTTTAACTGAATATGTATGTGTAAGAGAGATAATTAAGGAAAGAAATTTTATCACCGGAAATGAACTCTTTAGGTGTGACCTAAAAATGAGTGGGACATTTCCAAGAACGTTTCTCTCTTTCTCAGCTGTTCTTCACAAAACGGCAACTAGTCGTAATTCTCCTCCTTTAGTTCTTGATTGGCAATATCAGAAAATAATTTTTTTCACCCGAAGTTAACTTTCCGAACATCGTAGGTAGCTTTCTTTTCGTATCAAAAACAACATTTTTAATCGGTTAGCAACGACATGTTCTGGGCATGTACAAACAAACTCAGATTATCAATCACTCTGTAGTTATACAAAAATCTTAAAAATTATTTACAATTTCTATTGCACTTTTACTGTAAATACCTGGTTAGAAATATTTTCAACCTTGAAATCAGCGCTAGCGGTACGACCTGCAAATGAGTGGTACGTGTCAGCTCCAAGACCTTTTCATTAAAATCTCTTATTTTCTTGATAGGCTGAACTTCTTAGATCTAGCAAACGGATGGAGGAAACAAAGCTAATAACTGAACTTTGTCTCATACATCTCTATCCCATTGGTTAGAAGAAAACAACCCAAGGTAATTAACTGATATCAAAAAGCATCCCGTAACTCATATTAGGCTTCCCACGCCGATTACAACAATTTAAATTCCAGTCATGCGCCTTTTATGAATATCATCTTTAATTCGTTGCTTTTGTCTCTTCAAACCGAAAATGTCTGGTTCCCACCGATCCAAAGGGAAATCATGCTTAAAGCGAGAAACGGGAGCATGCAATGCATGACGAAATTTAAGCAAAACACTAAGAAAGTCGTTTTCCTTACCTTTTAGAGCTCTTAAAATGACTACTTCCGTTGGAGCAAACTGACATAGTTTAATTTAACGAAATAAATTTTATCACCCAAAATTTACAAGCTTTTGTGGCTTTCTCGAAATTTGTAGCGTGCATTCTGTTCGTTAGCAACTAAACATTTTTATATCTCTCAAGACAGTACAAATTATACTTCCTACACCAAAACAGGTCGGGTAAGTTAACAACACAATATTCTGCAAACAGTCCATAGATCAACACAATATATCAATCGTTCTATGCAGTTATGCATAATTTTAAAGATAGCAATTTTTAATGCTTTTATAAATATTGTACTTGGTTAGTGATGGCTTTTAACCCTGAAATCAGTGTTATAGCTGCAGCCTACAAATGACTGCTGTTTCCAAGAACTTACCATTAAAATCTCTCAGTTGTAAACAACCCATTTTCATAAGTGTTCAAAATTGTAATCCCCTTTTACTTTTGATTGGCGAAACTCGTTAAAAGGAGCGAACATGGAGGAAACAAAGATAAATACTGGACGTTGTCTCAATACATCGGTCCAATTGCTTAGTGGAAATTGAAAAGAAAACAAATAAGATGAAGCCACATACAAAGAGAGCCTTCCACGGACATTAGGCTTCCTAGGCCAAGCCCATTAACGCTTTTTTGCAACGTTATCTTTAATTTACTGTGTTTCTCTTAAACTGAAAATGCATGTTTACGGGAAGCATATCCATTCTTTTTTCACTTCTTTGCGATCGTGTAATAAACTTATAGAAGTTTAATCTACCTATTTGTGGAATTTTGATATCGGTGATTATTCAACTGTCACTGCCCTAAATCATCAGTACAGTTAACTTAAGACCCTTAAAAGCAATGAACGCTAAGTAAAGAGAAAATTTATTTTAATGTTCAGATTCCAACGAAATTTATAAAAATGTATAATTTTCGTCTTGCGTTTCTGGAACGCACACAACTTTAAACAAACATGCATCGTTACCAAATGTGTTCACTGATAATTTTAGAAATATGCAAAATGTGTATCGTAATTTTTTTCAGTCGGGATCTTGCCGGAAAAATTGCTGATGACCAGAAAGAGCTGAATTCCAACCGAAAGCCACCAGCGCAGGCCGAAATGTTTGATTTATATATGACGCATTTTAGCACTAGTGTTTATTTAGTTCGTTTCAATTTAATGAAACGTTATCATGGGAAACTGCTAAGTACTTCAAATGCAGTGATGGAGCCACTGACTTTAAAGCAAAAATTAAAGCAAAAACCTTGGCGGCTGAATGAGGTATGTCATTTCCTTATTTTTTAAAACAAAGTCTAGCCTGTTTAGATTCTTTAGCTGAGTATTAACGCGACTGAAATGTTTAAGAAAAGAAATTTTATCACCCGAATTTACGAGCTGTTTTTAACTTTCCGCAGGTAGCCTTCTTTTCGTACCCAAAACAACATTTTCATCCGATGGGCAACGCAATGTTCGGGACACGCCATTTAAATATGGACCAAAACAAAATCATGTATACCAATAACTTCATAATTTTAACAATTAATTCCAACTTCTAATGCATTTGCAGCTGTTCTCAACCTTTGTAATGGGTATTTTCCTCTTATTTTCTTGATGGGTTGAACTAGTCAGATCTAGCCAACGGATGGAGAAAGCAAAGGTAAACATTAGACGTTGTCTCATATATCTTTGTCCCATTGGTTGGTGGAAAGTGAAAAGAGAACAACGCAAGGAAACTGATGTAAAAAAAAAAACTCTAACTCATATTGGGCTTCCCAAACGGATCACGACAATTTCAATTCAATTTAAATTCCAGTCATGTACACTCTCTTCAAACCGAAAATGTCTGGTTTTCACCGATCCAAAGGCAAATCTTAAAGCGAGAAACAGGAGCATGCAATGACGAAATTTAAGCAAAAGACTAGGAACGTCGTTTTCCTTGATTTCTTTATCCTTTCAGGGCTTTTTGATGAACGAAAGAAATTTTATCACCCAAATTTACAAGCTGTTGTAGCTTTCTCGAAATTTGTAGCGGGCTTTCTGTTTGTTACCAACTAAACATTTTTATATCTCTCAAAACAGTACAAATTATACTTCCTACACCAAAACAGGCCGGTTGAGTTGACAACACAATATTCCGCAAACAGAGCCAATTAAGCATCACAATTTATTAATCGCTCTGCAATTTTAAAGATAGCAATTTCTAATACATTTTTAAATATTGTACGTGGTTAGTGGTCGTTTTTAACCCTGAAATCAGTGCTATAGCTGCAGCCTACAAACGGCTGGTGGTTCTAACAACTTTTCATTAAAATCCCTCAGTTGTAAACAGCCCATTTCATAAGTGTTCAGAATGATAGCCGCCTTTTACTTTTGATTGGCTAAACTCGTCAAAAAGAGAGAACATGGAGGAAACAAAGATAAACACTGGCTGTTGTCTCAATACATCCGTCCCATTGCTTGGCGGAAATTGAAAAGAAACGAGTCAAAGGAAATCACATTCAAAGAGAGCCTACGCCAAGCCCAACTACGCTTTTTGCAACGCTATCTTTAATTCGCAGTGTTTCTCTTAAACCGAGTATGCTAGGTTACGGAAGCATATTCGGTCTGTTTTTACCTCTTTTGAATCGTGTAATAACACTTGTGGAATTTTGATACCGGTGTATATTCAACTGGCACTGCCCTAAATTATCAGTAAAGTTAACTTAAGTCCCTTACAAACAATGAACTTTAATAAAAAAAAAAATCTTTATTTTAATGTTCAGATTCCTACTAAATTTATAAAAATGTATAATTTTCTTCTTGTTTTTCAGGAACGCGCACAAATTTAAATAAACCTGCATCATTACTAAATGTGTTCGCAGAAAATTTTACTATATAGGGTGTGTAAAATATTACTGACACGTGTATAATGTTTTTCAATCCGGGTCTTGCAGAAAGAAATGCCGTAAAGACAAATCTGAATTCTAACCGCAAATAAGGTCACCAGGGCAGGCCGGAATGTTGACCGGATTTATGAAAACCGTGTCAGCTTTGCACCATAGCGCCCGTGTGCACTTCTATTGTACATATAGCGAGAATTTTAGGCAATAAACCTTGCAAATAGAATTCTATATGTGCTATATTTGCACATGTGATAAAGCGATACGTCCAGTCAGCTTCGCGTATAGCGTTCTTCCCATGTGAATTTTAAGCACAATGTGTAAATTCTGTCCGTTACAATTCAATGAAACGTTATCACGGGAAACGGCTAAATACTTGAAATGCAGTGATGCAGTGTTTACGTTAAAATTAAAGCAAGAAACTTAACGGCGGAATGAGAAATTAAT